CGGGCGCGCTAATGAGTCTATTCATTTCTGTCGTGCTCGTGGTGGGTACTCAGGTAGGCAGCAGGTAGGCCGTATTCTGGAATCAGAGATACATGCGAGGTGAGTAGAAGTCTAAAGCGCTCTGGCTTTAGGCGGCAGAATGCTCTTCGGCTGGCGTGAAATATGCTGCTTGCAGCGGCAAACCTCTTCGTGTAACCTTGCTTGCACCTTAGGTCTGCGGGCACAAATACCCCATGAGCCCTCCCGGAAATGACATTTTAGAGCTGCTAAATACGTGTGTGGCAAGCACCGAGGGCTCTGGGAGCGCCGTTGCAGAACGGTTTGCCCTTTAATTATCGCGCGACCTTAGGACATGCTTCCTTCGTATAACGAGAATTTCCCTATTCATACGTTGCGCCGAATCTCAAGGGAATGAAGCTCATCCTATATTAGCAGTGGTGTGCTCGGAGACAAACCACGCACTCGTGATGTCATCGGCTGATAATGAAGATAGTTTGATTGCAATGAGACGTTAGATACCGTCTTGCATTACCGTCTAAAATGCCTAACCGGTATATCAGTATTATAATCGGGAAGTTGGTCACTGTAGGTTTGTAGAGGGAACTAAGATCTTTGGATTGCCTAAGGCCACTTTTTCGTACATTTAAATATGCGAGGAAGCGTTATATCCCTGGTGATTATATGTTATAACCTAATACTTGTCGGTACTGTGTTACCGCACGATTACTTACCAGATCGAGTTATGTTTAGTTGCCTTTGTTTAGAAAGCCAGTAAAAACCTTATAATTGCTAGTCACAAAGGATTCCGGATAAAATGGATTCTACGTAAATCAGTTGAACCTTTAAAAATGTCAGGTCATAATATTCTCCGCCTTCATTAGACCATGGCTCGTGCTGGCGTAGACCGCATGCGTTGTTTGTGGCAACTTGGCAAGTGAACGGCTCCTGATAGTTGGTACAATTATGCTACACTATTTACGGCACCTATCACGCATTCCAAGCAACTGCACTAGTCGCAAGCGATTTTACTGCACTCAAGCGCCTTCGGGGCAACATGTTCTTCCCATCCGTTCTGCCTTGCCACTTCCGAGAGGCAAGTGTTCTGCGCAGCTCTGTAGTTGCATATTCCCTAGTCTGCTTTGTGTAGCACTTCTGTTAATTTGTAACAGGGTTGTCAGTTATTGTAACGCGCAAGCCTGGGAAATAAGATTCGCGCCAACCTTTTAATTCAAATGTCTATTTCCAGTTTCAACTCTCCCAGTTTGGTTTCTAGTTTCTTCTCAATTATTTGACTTCCCAACTATTCTTGCTTTTAATACCTTACATTAAGATTGGTACCTGCATTCTTACAGCACGGGTGACCGAGAGATATCTAATAGTGAAAGTTGTCGCACCCTGTGTAGAGGTTTACTTTATGCGTTACCTTATCCCACGCAGTAAAGCAAAGTTCCAAAGTAGAAATATCATTAATACTTCAGAATTCGGTTTTCAAAGCATAAGGCCGCAGTGTAAGGTATTCCTTATGACCGAACGTGGTCCCCCATGTATAATACTGGGTCTTCCGGGGACACTAAAAGCGGTCGCGCAGCCAAAGTATCTAGGTCACCCGCGTGAGCCTGAAGTGTTGGTTAATTCAGTGCTAATGTTTCAATTTTCGTTGCCGTGTTTAACCCTTTAGCAAGTTGCTTTATATTTAATACCCTCGCTGGTGACTTCAGGACATGCTCAAATGAGACAACAAGCACCCATCTGTCCACTTGTCCGCTTTTCACTCCCGTAGCTTTTATTCCTATTTCAAGTTACCTTTACCGCGATGACTACTAGCACAGTGCATGCGGACATTGTTTGCTTACCCATGAAGTGTAGCTAGTGCTTTGTTCGCCCGTTCCTTGGTTTTTAATAGATTCCACAAGCTTTACCATGAGTGAACGATGTAAACAAGCATGACTTTCTTTCTTGGAGCCACCACTTATCTCCGTACATTATTTGATTAGACTATTTGCATCACAAATCAGATGGTTTCATGACTTATTCTGTGCCGCTGTAGGTGTCTACTTTTGACCAAATTTCTTAATCGAGTGGCTACAGTGCGCCACTGATGAGCTGTCAACCAACTCTATTACCTCGGTTGTCGCAACTTCAACAACAAGCTACCGCGATTTGGCGTACGCTCCTCGCATCCCTGCGCATTTTCGGGGCTAGCTAGGAGCCACTTCTTTTCTTTGCAACTGTATGCTTGTAAACTGTTTGCATTACATTTCAGCACGTCGGTTGACCTATTCCGTGACATAGTATATATATATATATATTAGTAACTAGGGTGCTTAACACAACTAGCATTTTTGGCCACCGAGACGCAGCCCATTAGCGCCATCACTCGATCGTCTTACCTTCGACACCTAGTCTTCCTTTCATATCCAATTAATACGAACCAGCTACTATTGGGTTCAGCTTCCTATCCTCACATAACCATGTATATAATAGTTCTTATATGGTCTTAGATAATCCGCATCCTGTGGAGCATATATAAATATCGTCACATCGGCACTGTTTCTTCTGGTATCCGACTGCAACCAAGCGTGATTACTTAGCCACCTTCTGGTCTCCGGTATAACTCTAACGCCGTAAGCTAATATATTGTTAATTTCTTACCGAAAACCTGCTGTTCATCCTCATGTGAATGAATGTAATCTACCCATTGGGCCATGCCTTCTGCTGCATAAAAAACCTTTTCAGCTTAATATCTGTTACACATTGTACACCAGTTTGTCTCAAGTAAAGGACTTAAAGTAGGATTTCCCCAACGCTTGTTACCAAGACTGTCCCTTTTTGGTCTTCTCTCGGCCTGTTATGTTTTTCCTTCTTCTCTGAGGTCGTAAACACCTTGTAGCTAAGGGATTAAGCTTAGGAACTGTCTCCGTCTTTGCTGGGACGATATAACCAACAAGCACGTACCTGGACCATGGCTTCACTTCAACACCAACCATCTGCACCCAACACCACAACCACCAATGTCCGGTGTGGGTAGCTGTACACGAATAATTCACACCCCAGACAATATACAAAAACTGAGAATGGGGATCCCATAAACTGGAAATTCCGCTTAGCTGCAAAACCATACATCCTCCTCGACGGACCTCAACGTCCAGTTTGGAAGCTGAGGGTGACAATTGCTTAGCCAACAGAGGATACATTTCACTGCGAATAGCTGAGTGAAAAATGCTTCATAAGCACCTTTGCTAGTTGTACATGACCGTTCAGAACAATCGGCCGCAGCGTTGAGGGACGTGGTGGGTTTTTACCTTGCAAGCTTTCTCCCTATAAAAAGCCATAAAAGTCCGTTTATCAACACTGTGAAGTGATGGATGTGACTCGCTACTGCATAACGTCACCGCCCACCGTTACACCCTGGAATATCGACTAGTCATTTTTCAACATTTTAGTGATACGTACAAAAAGGATACTCTCAGCATTCCATTACTGTCCCCGCTCCATGTACTGCTCATTATTATTTACTATTCGCATACATGAAACCATTTTATCGGCACTCTACTAAACATTTGATCCTTATGTGTGCTTCGACTGTTTTTGCGAATTGTACAATATTTGGCCATAGCCAATTACCAGTTGCGCCACATACTTGCCTGTAAGTTTTGATCATACCTGAGTTGATATGCCTCAATGTATTCGAGGACAAAATATTTATTTACTTGAACTTGACCAGCTGAATTTGCAATTCTTTTAGTTCCCTCCGAACCACTGGCGGAAGTGCGAAACCTAATCTGCGTTGGATGCAACCACCAGCCCAATTGTACCGCGTAAGCAATTCGGTCAATTCCTTTCAGCAATTCCGTCCTTTTGGGTCTGCTTTTCTTTCGTTGGAAACCCCTACCTTTGGACCTCTTCTAAGATGAAAGGTTACACACCCTCCCATGACGCAGCGTAACACTTCTGTTTGTGTGATTGGATTGCGATGCAAAATCTCAATGTGGACCGTTATTCACATTGAATTGAACCTTAGTCCCTGCGATAACTAGGACCGTAGCTGAAGCAGATGGTGATTAGGCGTTGCCCGCAAGAAAATTGCACATCCGTGACGTGTTATTTCGTCTCAGACGTTTTGTGGTTTACCAAGACAGCGGTCTTTCTCCCCGAGTTAATAGGTTTCGTCTGCCCACACCCGGAATAGTATGACTCAGCCTGGACAACCTACTTGCAAAAGGATATTATCTATATTGCGAACGTGCAAAGACTGGTCACTCAACTGATAGAATGTCAACCTCGGTCATCGTTGAAAATCTGTTACCTAGCTTAGTCTTACATTCAAGGCGATGACGCAGATTGAAGTTTGAATTGACAGAGAAGTACCAAATTACGCAACGTGTCAGTAGCCTCAGTCCCACCGATCGGTTTGAAGTAGCTACCCCGGACAACTTGGGGAGTCATTGCATAAAACCAAAGCAGGATAGATATAGGTTAGAGTTAAAGGCCAGGTTCTTTGCAAACCGGACTAAGAAGACAAGTTGGTTCGTTTTCGCTCGCTGCGTGGTGTAACTTATGACATTTGTACAGGCTTCGCTTTCACCTAGGCTTACTTTCTGCGCACTGCAAGAGTCTTAAATCTACGCTGATATACTTCATCTTGCTGACCGTCAAGGACACACTTTGGCCATACTTTTGTCCTTAATTTCCTCGGTACTAAATTCTTGCTATTATCCTCTAAGGAGATCGTCACAGGATTTTAACCTCTATATGCCCCTGGTAAAAAGGGTAAAATCTACTCACAGCCGTATTAATAAAACGGGCTAACGTGCGAGAAAATCAGCAACCGGAACGACTGTGCCGTACTTCATTATGGTGACGGACTAATTTCTTCAATGCGCAATGGAAGTGCAGACTCGCAAGATGATTTAGCGGAGGTATAAACGAGCCAAAACACTTTACCGCCAACCTCCACACATTTAGTGGCTATTTCAGGCCTAGTTTAACCTGGAGACGTAATGAAAGTAAGTGCACAGCGACTGCCGGGAGGTACCTCAATGCAATTAGTGCCAATGTTCTGAGGCGCGTAAAATGCATATAGTATCAGCGGCCGCCTAAAAGTCCACACGATTAAGAAGTTAGTGAGGAAAGTTTGTGATCTGGAACTTGCTCGTACTGGTTTCATTAGAGAGAAGCGCACGGACGTTAAACGCCAATCCTCTCTGCTATTCAAATTTGATGCAGAGAGCTCGGCACTCAAATTCCTTTACTGCGAATACGCTATGCACTCGCGCACAACAAAGCGTGTTTACAAAATTGTGCGATTAATACGCGTGTTGCAGCAAATTATAAATATAGAGATGATGATGTTGACTGCGGTACAAATGCGAAGGTCAGCTCAGGTAAAACTAAGACCACCTATGTTTACACTGGAAGCGGGATCAATCAGTACGTAAAGCAACGTTCCAAGAGGAAAAGCTGCAGAGAATCGGCGAGGATCGGAAAAAGACGGGAGACAGTGCAAAGTGTAGTTAGTGAGAATGATTACGCTAAGGACTCACAATTACGTAGTCTGAAAGCCGTCGGAAGCTATCAAAAAGAGACCAAGGGACCAAACCTGTCGTGCATTGGGAGTCGTTAGCCCGGATACGATCAGATTGATAGGCAAGTGTGAACAGGAGGTAAAGACCAGATGGATATGAAGGTTGGTAACATGAGCATACTATTGAAAGTAATACCCAGTAACACTAAATATTTATCCAAGTCCTCCTAGAAAGCGGTAGCCGGGTCAGTGCAGAGGGTTTATACGCAGGAGGATAAGTTGCTTTGGCGCCTCTGGTTTGAATTGTATAATAGAGGTGGAAATATAAACAGTGTGCAATAACAGATAAGGTCGTGGATAAGTAGAAAATAAACGCGACAGGGATCTAGACTTTAGCGCAGGAGGGCTGAGCCGCTGCCAAACCATGATCGCAAGGGTTGCGGACGTCTGGGAGTATATGGAAGGCAGAAATCTGTTCAGCTAAGGATATTTTAGTCGATACACCGAGATTGGTTAGTAAAATTGTAGTGAGAACAACTCTTAGGTGGCAGCGGAAATAAACAGGTTAAAGATGAAAGGGGCTGTATTATATACGGGTTATTAGTTCCGGTAAGGCACTCTAAGTGAGGGTGACCGATCAGACGACACTCGATTAGGCGTTGCGTTGAGCTTGAGCCGCACAGATGGGATGGAAAGAAAATAGGGAGGATCAGCAGGAGCAGTTAGGACAGGGAGAGAGAAGAATCGGTATTGGCATGGGCTGAGCAACTTCAGCTGCCTCTCAAGGTAATAGACACAAAATTGAGTCCAAAGAGTCCAGACTATTAACATCCGCGTCGTCTGGGCGACCTCACAGAGAAGCAGGCTGGTCAGATGAGGCTGCGTTAAAGCAGGGCAATAAGGTTTGGATGCTCTATCAAAGAAGGATTGAAAACAGAGAACGCAGCATGGAGATGACAGGGTCGGGATTGAGAAGGTTTACTGCTAAAGTGTGGAGTAGCTAACAATGCTCCCGTGTGGAGGAATATAGAGCGTCCAGCCTTCCGAACAATGGTCGGTAATGTTACAGTAACCTGCGAAAAGTCGGAGGGCAGGAGACCTGTCAGGCGAGACTGGATTTTTTAGCTATTGAGAATAAGTAGTACAGTTAAGTCACTAGGACAAATAAAGACGGTCAGCATACCTGGACATGTTTGGGATAGAAAGGGCTATAGTATAATGGTTTGGCAAGTCATGCAGGCTTGAGATGTGAGAGAAATTGTGTCTTGGTTATGCAGGGCCCAAAACTTTTATGTTTCCAGAGGCTGGAAGCAGTGAACGAGGAGAATATGGCAGGCGCTGAGAGTTCGCTCTCCGATTAAAGAAATTAAGAGGAAGCGCGATAAGGCACGGACAGAGTGCAGATGGAAAAGGTTTATAAACAAGAGATTGGAAAGGCAACGGGACTCTTAAGTTAATGGGAACAGAGAGTAGGGTCTTTCGAAAAATGGCCGGTAACGTCACGATAGTCGGAGGGAATGAGATCGATCAGATGAGCCTGGATTAGTCGGCGAATTTAGATTGAGTCGTAGTTAATTTTAGAAGACAAATAGAGTTGAGCAGAAGGAATGGACAGGTCAGACTTAGAAGTGGCTATGCTAACTTATGGTGCACAAGTCCAACAGGCTATCGAGGTGAGGGCGACATAGCTTTGAAGCCACAGAGCCAAGGTTGTTAACATCCCGGTAGTCTAAATGGAGTCAGAGGGAAGCAGATTGGTCAGACGAGGCTAGGTTAGGGCAAAGCACAGAGTTGGCTGTTCGATTGCAGTAGAATTGCAAACAGGAAGCTTTCAGTCACTTGAACAATAGTCGATAATGTCGCAGTAGTCTGAGAGAAGTCGGAGAGCAGGAGAACCATCAGACGAGGCGGGATTAATCGGTGCAATGAGATTGAGACCTACAGCTAAGTTTGGAGACAGATGGTTAGGGTTAAGTAATGTGCAGGCTAGAGAGGGAAGTGGCTGCATAAATAAAAGATAAACATATCCAGCATGCTGCCGAGTTGAGGGAGGCGTAGCTTTGTGTCTACAAAGCCTAGACCTTTTATATTTCGCTGGTCTAGAAAATGGCAAAGAAGCAGACCAGACTGACGAGACTGGGTTAATGCAGGGCACTGGGTTGGCAGTCCGAGTAAATAAAAAATGAAAGCAGACCACCATAAGGAGAGAAGGGGTCAGGATAGAAGGAGGATTACTTAGAAGGTGTGTAAAAGCCAACGAGGCTCACGAAGTAATGGGTACAGTGCGTTTGGTCTGCCGAACAAATGCTGGTGACGTCATAGCAGTCTGAGAGAAGTAGGAGGGTAGAAGACTTATCGGACTAGAATGGATTAGTCGGCGCATTAAGATTAAGTCATACAGTTAAGGTGGGAATACAAATAAAGAGGGTCAGCAGAGCTGGACGGGTTAGGGCTGGAAGAGACTATGTGTGTATATGGTAAGCAAGTCAGGCAGGCTCGCAATGGGAGCAGGAAACTGCCCCGGTAAACTGGAGCCGCTCCATCATAGTCACAATTGTCAAGGGAGGCTCCCAGTCGGAATGAGGCACTCCTAGAGGGAGCAATCTGCTCTCAGTTGCCTCTAGCTTTCTTGCTTCTGTCGGTTAACAGACTGGCTGGCGTTGGTGAAGGCCGGATCCAAGAAGAGCAAGCTGATTTTCATGGAACGCAATGCTACCACGACCACAACTTGACTTTAGGTCAATTTTTGGGGCACGGCCTTGGTTATGGCAACCCACAGTTGTCGGATTTCTTGAAATAAAAGGTGCCTTCGATTCGGTGGATCGATGTATCCTTTGGGACTGTCTGACCGATAAATTTGCAAACATTATCAAAGCGGTGTAAGCGCATAATTTGGACAGAGAGAGGTTGTATGGCAACCTGTCGCCGCCCTTTATTATCCCCAGCGGTGTGAAACACGGATGCTAACTGGCACGTTTCCCCTGTAGCTTCACTATTGATGGAATTACGGAACCAGCGTTTGCTGGACACGACCCAGAATGTTGGTAGCTATATCCTGGTGAGAGACTTCTTGACTTGAAGTATGAGGACGACAGTGCTTTCATATGACATAGTGTCCAAACGTGCCGGGTTGCACTGAACTGATTAGCCCCGGCTGTCAATCGTTTTGGACTATGCTTTGCTCCATCGAAATGCAAAGTCCTTCTCCAAGCTTGATAGGGTCGCACCTTTGCGCTGACCTTTGCTGGCGATCAGCTAGAAGTCCTGCAAGAATTCACGTACCTGGGCAGTTATATTAGCGCCCGTGGGATCGAAGCTAAGGTTATGAAACTTAGAGCAAATTTTCGAGGTGCTTTTACCGACATCCGCCACCTGTAACGCAGACAATGCACCACTCTCGCCCTGAAGGATGGTGTGTATAAGGCAGCCGCCCGTTCAACCCCGGTATACGGTTGTGAAACCTGCCCATCAGTTCGACAAACATGAAAGGCTGCCCACGTTCGATTATCGCTGCCTTCGCAGCAAGGTCCATGTCCAGGGGCGCACGGCGTAAGCAATGAGTATGTTCGTCGTCGCCTATTTGGTGGAGGAAGAGCTAATGAACCGCTCAGCAACATGTAATCATCCAAATGGCTCCGATGACTGGGCCACTTGTTGCGCATGCCAACACACCGGCTCCCAAAACGTGGATTGTTTGCGCGCCGGGCGTGCATTTGGAAGAGGAAAGGGCGGTCAAGCGCTGACTTTGTCAAGCAAAATAAAAACCATTACGTCATAAGTAAATAAATAAATAAATAGGTATATTTCTAGACCTGCTAGAGGCTGCACCCTAAAGGGTTCAGATCAATGCTTACATAAATCCGATGCTCTTGCATGGAAGTTGGTAAAATATAAGTATATGTTCACCGTTAGCAATTGCAAATGCATTGGCACTGTTTAGTATACAGCTACTGGGTCGCAGGCGCCCAGCTTGACATTTTTCTGGTTCCTTCGGGCGATATTGAGCTCATTGTATTTTATTGTGAATACTTCGCGGAGGTGTAGTTTGCCTTTTCTCCTTGACACAGAATCCAATTTGCCACAAGTTCACTTTAAATTGATCGCCCAATAATTGGCCACTCAGTTGCCCCAATTGTTGTTGCGCACATGGAAGAAATGAATGAGGAGATTATAAGGCATACGAAAAGCAAAAACAATTCCGAAAAATGCAGGCATAAATAGAAGCAATTTGTTAAGAGAGAAAATAAATCTGCGTGCTTCAGTAGAAAAATACCAATTAACAAAAAAATAGAGCCCTACTTTTCTTACGCTGATATTGCTCTCCGGCGCAAAATTTCAACCTGAGTTATTCTCAGATAAAAGAAAAAGCCTTTCTACAGTTAGAATACCGCTTAAAGTAGCACAAAATTACACTGGTCTGGACCAGCTTTAGCGCCTGAATACGATGAACGTAAAAGCAACACCATGCGTGCAGTAGTTTGCGAGTTATTCGCAATTAAATGATGGTCTACGAATAAGGCCATTTTTATTTTTCGCTAAAAATGGCTTTCTGCTTTGCAAGCAGATAGCAGAAGAAATAAAAGAAAATATAAAAAGTAGGGAAGCGGCGTGTGTTCTAGATAGGCATAGCTATCCAGAAATGCTCTAATTAGCCCGTAATACCCTGCGACAACTAGGGACTGCGCAGGTGGCCGAAAAGTAAACTTTGCAGGCATACATGACAAATATATGCAATTAAGGGATGAGCTTGCGCGAAAACGCTAGAAATCCAGCAAGGAATATTATATCTACATGGGAATTCAGAGGAGGTTGTAATTAACTCACGGTTAGAAGGCCACAGCATACCATTTTCAGGGGATACTGAGCCACATAAACAACCAGTAAAATAGAGTTTAGCGTTTTTTAAGCCTCTAAGCTTTTCTAAAGCTTACCACAAGCCCGCATGAGCCAGGTCTACCTGAGTAACCCTGGGGATCTTTCAGGTCCGTGGACAGATTTCGGCCTGCAAAATACACACATTACTAAGCTAAACATCACAAGATTTATCCCTTAGAGCCGATTTTCTATATTCATGAGGCTCTGTCTCTAACGTCAGTGAGCTGTAGGAGCCTGCCACCAATAATAAAGAAAGAAGCATGGGAAAATTTAGTAAAATTTAGCTAATTGCATTTGGGCGTGAAATCCGTTTTGGTCTACATTACAAACAACAACAAAAAAAAAAACACTACACACAGAACAAACCCAAAACACCACAACCAAACACGCACACCACCAAACAACAACCCAAACACACCAAAACACACCACCTTATAAACCTCTCACCAAATCTCAACCGAAACAACACAGAACTACAACCACCACGAATAAAAACCACAAGAAAACAAACCAGCAACAAACAAAACACACACAAACCGCACAACTACAACACATCAACTACAAAAACCCCAACCCAAAACAACGACAACACTATATCACCACAACCACCGACACAAACTGATCCAAAAACACATTAACACAACAACACACACAACCAACGACACAAAAACATACAACCAAGACAAACAAAGCAACCAACTCACAAACAATCCAACACACTGCAAATCACTCAACACCACAAACCACACATAAACCAAAAACACCAATAACTAACATAAACACAAACACAGAAAACACAAAAACTCAACAAACAAAACAAAACACACAGAACCAAACAAGCCCAACCATCCCACAACCCAAACGCAACAGCAAACCATAGCCCCCATACTACACATACAACACACTACACCACATACACACACACAAACACACAACACACCAACCACCACACAACAACACAATCCACACAAACACACAACAAAACAACACAAACAAAACAACACCAACCACAAACAAACACAACAAAACAACACAACAAAACACAAAAACACAACACCAAACAACAAACACACACAAACACAACAACAACACCACAAACAAAACAACAAACACACAACAACACACAAAACAAACACAACAAAACACAAACAACAACAAACACAAACACCAAACAACAACACAACACACAAAACAAAAAACACCAACACAACACAAAACCAAACACAAACACAAAACCACAAACAAAAACAACACAAAACACACCAAAACAACAAACACACCCACAACACAACACAAACAAAACACAACACAAACAAACACACAAACAACAAACACACAAAACAACAAACCAAAACAACACAAACAAAACACCACACAACAAACACAAACACAACCACACAAACCACAACAACACAAACAACAAAACAAACCACAACAACAAAAACCACCAACACACCAACAAAAACCACACGAAAAACACAAACACACAAAACCAACCAACACAACACACACACAACACCAAAAAAACAATACAAAATACAACACAAAAAAACAAACAAAACACAACAAACACAACAAAACACACACCACAACAACAAAATCACACACAACACACACAAAAAAACAAAAACAAATCACACCAGACACCACACAAAAACACACAAACAAAACACAAACACAAAAACACAACAAACACACAACAAACAAAAAACAAAACAAACAAAAAACACACACAAAAAAAAACACAGAAACACAAACACAACAAACACAACAACAACAAACAAACCAAACAACACAATCAGACAACAAACAAACACAAAAATACAAACACAACAACACAACAAACACAAAACAACGAACATACCAACAAAAAAGCACTAATCCCTAAAAAAACAACCACAACATAGAAAACCACGAAGAAATGCCCTCTATCAAACTAAAAATAAGACTTGATCAATCAACACAACCAAACCTAAAGAGCACGTAGAACATAAATTCATAAAAAACAAAAAAAACCCACTACAACAAACCACAAACAAACCTCAACAAAAACAGAGACAGTAAACAAAGAACACAAAAACACAAATAACACAAAACAAAACAAAAAATTAAAACAAATAAATAACAAAGCACACAAGCAACAAAACACAAAACATACAAACAAAACAACAAA